TTCAAAAAWTYRRCRAKWAKAYGYKAAYKAACTTMTGTMKKTGTMTSTYTMTTTYWKCRTMTRCTGTGGCTGTGTTCGCTCCACAARAMTRSTTTTGCGCATMCMRAAATCGCGTCKYKKAWTWWAAWYAATCGATTCGWWAWWYKAWMAAKGAAWKAAKKCSCSTTTMYKTAWRGYWGWTTCYGAAGTGATTTGCGCATGCGTGSGGGGGTCCGCCATCTTAACGAATCGATTCGTTAATAATAACGAAATTTCGTAAATATCGAACTTTTTAAAAGGAAAATTTCGGAATTCTTTTAAATAACGAAACGCAAAAAAACCCCAAAAACGAATCGATTTTAGAAACAAATTTTTCCGTTGTTACCCAGGCCTACTGTTTACCAGATGTTATTGGGCTGTAGTTCCAATCATTTCTTATCATGGGCTGTGCTGGCTAGTGCTGCCAGGAGTTGCAGTCCAACATCTGGGAGTCTGCACATTTTTCACCTCAGCCGAAAGTCACCCAATGAGACTCATGGCTTGCTAGGGACTTGAATCTGGATCTGCCTGGTCTCAGTTCAACAGGAGAGGAGAGAAATAAAGTGTTGCAATTCCCAGTAGGTTCAGGCAAAAGCTAACTACTGCATTATCTCTTAGCCTGAATGTCCTTCTATTATCTTGAACAGGTTCTGGTGTTGCTTGGCTACATATGTTCATCTGTGAACATATGTACCATGTACATGGCCGTCCCAAGTCCCTTCGGGGAGATGGTGGTGGGGTATAAATAAAGATTATTATTATGATGATTAATATTATTTCACCATTCCTCATTATTTGATGGAAACTATTGTCCAGCATCATCAGAAAACCAGTGGCAATTTCTGAAAAGTTACGATTTTGGATTAGAACTTCGAGAACATACCACTCCCCACCAGTCCTTAAGAAGTCCAAACATATTTGGTTCTCATAACTGCCATATTCAGCATAAGGTCACAAAAAGAAACAAGATAGCAATGAATGTTGCTTACCATAAGACATCACAGATCTACCTCTACACATTTTAAAGTAGATGTTAAGGGAATTGGGATAGATGTTAACAATCAAAATAATCTCTGTTGGCATGATTGTAAATTGGTTGAGGTATTTTTGTCAAACACTGGTCTGAGAAACTGTATGTATGCCTGGAAATGAATTATGGACTACTTTAGAGATGAATTGGAAAACCAAAGTTACACCAGAAGCAATGGCTTTTCAGCAGTAGTGAAATACTACCTTGCTAATACAGTGTGATGTTCCCTGGCAACCATAACTATGTGAGAAGGTCTAATAGAGAATTACTTTTTGTTCCTGTGAAAGGAGTCACATTTCAGCAGCAGTCCACCCTGAATCATAAAGTGGAGTAATTTGTCATGGGATTAGAAATTGCTATCATAAAAGTGTACGCACAAATTGCAGGATGTTACATTGACATTATGGTTCAAGTGGCAGAGGGCAGAAAACAGAAGAAGCTGCCTTTTACCTGATCTGACAGTTTTGTCCATTCAGCTCAGTAATATTTTCTCTGCAAAACTTGGAAAAGTTATTTTTGGGATTATAGCTCCTAGAATTCATGAACCAGGTGTCATGTCAGTTGGTGGTTCCTGGCAACTGTGATCCTCATAAGTATTCACAACTCTAGATCTCAACATCTTTCTTACAATTGGGGATGCCAGAAAAGAACCTGAGA